ATTTGTGCCAGAAAATGGTAAGAAAAATGTCCAATTATGACTTTTAACCCAGTTTATATTACTAGAATTAAATAAAGTGTTTCACTGTAATGTAATATTACTTAATTAGATTTGTCAAGTTTAACTAAATATCAACAGTAGGCGTTTTCCTGTGAAGTATACATATCTTTTGTCTTGAGCTACATTTCTATAAACCACTGAGAATAGAGGTGTTTTTTTTTGTGGTTAAAGAATACTTTATGAATGAAAAGTACACTAATTTTTGGAATGTTAACAACCAAATTGGACTGTTAATTCAGATCTTAGGGAATTCCAATCAGTTATGGTTTATGTGTAAACTTTTCTAAAAAGTAACACTGATTGCTTTCAGAAGGCATTGTGATGTTGCAATTGTGGTATGCAGGTACACTGATGTTTAAAACAAAAATCAAAGGATTCTTCAAAATACAGGTTCAGGATTGTTAGGCAAAGAATAAATTAAACATGGACGACGATAAATGTATGAATAGATAAAACCTTTATTCACACTCATGTCTGAAATGGTAACCAAATTACTAATCTGTGTGAATGGCTGCTGGAGTTGAGAGCAAGAGAGTTAAAAGCATGAGAAATCAAGAGAGGGGAAAATTCAGAGAAAACGAGGCAGAACAATGAAAATTACCTACTTGTATATTAAGACCAAAGCCTTAGGTATCCTACAATTCTATGGTTACATACTTGAATCGGTAGTTCATATAATTCTAAGTTTTTGTATAACCTGTTTTAATAGGCTACCCTTCTAGAAATTCACGTGTACGTTCTGATGTAAGGCTGTGGTATTTAATCTGTGCCTATGTAAAAAGATTAGCACATGTTTATGATATCCCAATATGACTAACTATAGAAACTGCGTGGAAATTTAGAAAAATTATATGAATATATCTGAACAAATGCACATTATGAACTAATTATATAAAGGTGAAATTAGTAGCTGTTCCATTTAGGATAGTCATTCATTTGAATTCTTTGGGGTTGACAAACGACTCAAAACTTCTTTGACAAATAGAAAATATGTGGTTTATTGTGTACGTACTAATGAAAATGTAAAACTAATCTTTACCGCAACGTTACCTGTACCTACTTTTCACTTTACGCCAGCTACCAAACTTTAATAATGGCTGGAGTCGACTTGAATGGGTAATGAAGAAAAACTTTAATATAAGTTTAACATAACAGCAAATGTGCAACGTTTCGACAAAGTTTTGTACCTGATGATGACAAAAC